AAAAAACGAAAAATGGCATGTATATTATTTCTCGAAATTCTAAATTTCATATATTTAAATTAGTCCCTTAATTTTTTTTTAGTTCATTTTTCCGTGTCTGTAATAAAGTATCATAAAAAAAAAAAAAAAAAAAAAGTGTGAAGTTAAAGGAAAAAAAAATCGATTGTCAAATTCAGTTATGCGAAATATATATATATATATATATATATATCGCGTAAAAAAAGAAAAGACGTTAAAAATTTTTCTCCTATGATATTGATCGCCAAGAAAACAGCAAAATTAACATGATTTAGATAAGGGGGGGTAGACGAAAATTAAAGACGAAAAAGTAAATTCGAAAGGGAAAAAGTTATGAATTTGGTTTTTTTTGAATTTTTTTTAACGAATTACATATTGAATAAAAAAAAAAAAACATACTAAATAATGATAAATGACATATCGATATATGTTTACGACTCGTAAACACAGCCAGAAAAAAAATAAAAAAAATAAAAAAAAAATTTTTTTTTTTTTTTCTGGTATTAATTATAAATTACAAAAATATTCGCTTTGGCATTGTTTATAAAATAAAATAAAAATAAAAAGTTCACGCAATCATTACATTTGTATCTTTAAAGTCACATCGATCATTTTGAGTGAATTTTTTGGTGACGACGAAGGTTACTGACAACCGAAAAATGTCGACCACAACCCTCGACTGGACATTTGAATGCTAGATAAGAAACGAGAAATAAATTAGTATGTAAATTATACATCATATGATACCATTGCTAATAATATCATTGTATTTTTACATGATATTTTTCTTACAAAAGTCATATTAGACAATGTAAGAAATTTTTTTTTATTTTTTTTTATCTTTTTTTTTTTTTTTAAAGAGAAAATTTGACTTACGTTTTTCTCCAGTATGACTATAAGTATGAGTTTGTAAAGAACTTGGACGTGTAAACCTCTTTTGACATATATTACATTTATATCTTTTAGGAGTCGAAGAAACAGTCTTTGAGCTGAAAGTAGTCATCATCGTTTGAGGAGATAGAACTGGAGGAGGTCTGCTTGAGTTTTGATGAAAATGAAGTGGCGTAGTATGTGTAACGTTTCTGTTTTGGTTCTGCATCGGATAATCCTGAGGTATAGGTGGCATTGTGTTACCAAAATTTACAGGATGTTGAGGATGACCATAATAATTCATGGGTTGTTGAAATACAGGACTCATCGCACGCTCATCGACAGGCTTTGTTGAATACGAACCGAACGGAAAATGAGTCGTACCAGACGCCTCAGGAACAGAAACTCGAGACCATGTTTCGGTTGATCCTTCTGAAGAACCAGGTTCAAGTTTTACATGCTGAAGGAGTGCAATCGGTAGATTCATACGACGATCCATTTGAAAGCCATTAGAAGATGAGGATGTTAAATTAGAATTATCTGAAGAATTCATTGATCCGTTATTATTATCTTCAAAATCAATCCTAGGAGAAGGAAGATTGGTAGAAGCATCCAAAGGTGGGGAAGGATAAGCTGTTGGGTTATATATATAGGTTTGTTGAATTGGAAGAGAGTTGTTATAAGCTTGATTAAAATAAGCAAGTTGAACCTCAATTTGTCGTTGATGAGAAGAAGGAAAGGTAAGATCAGTAAAGGAGTTTTCAGCTTCAGCGACTTGATTTTGTTGCTGGAGAAAATTCTGTTGTTTAATAAGTTGTTGAATAACTGGGAAATTATAATCGGAATCAAGGGATGGCAAATCGAAGAAAGTTATAGGGGTTGTCATAATGAGAGCGAAAATACGATGAAAAATAAATAAATAAATAAATAAATAAAAATAAATAAATAAGTAAATAAATACAAATTTACAAATTTTGTGAGAGAAAGCTAAAGAAAAAATTAAGGGACTAATTTAAATATATGAAATTTAGAATTTCGAGAAATAATATACATGCCATTTTTCGTTTTTT